TGCAAATATTCCCCAAGCCTGCCTTCCCTTTGGGGCTCCACATTCCCCCCAGCCTTTCTGGTGTGCCCCAGGGCTGGTAAGTCACAGCAAGCAGCCTCTTTGGTATCAATGTGGCTTCAGTGCCAGCTCCAAAAACAAACTACCATTTGTTACTTTCTAAAAATAAGCCTTTTTAGCTCTGGACAACATTCGGCCTCGCTCTTCGGAGCTGAAAGGTTGATTTCTTTGGCCTGACAAATGGTGGCCTATGTCTTCTCTGATGGGCTCCAGCTCATCCCTGTGAAGAGCCAAAGCCTCCCCCGATGCCCAGTTGAGTAGGCAGGCACAGGGCACAGCACACAGCATCTTCCGAGCCAGGTTTGGACCTGTGCAGAGGGCAAGAGCCAGGTGCTCATGGGAGAAAGAGACAGATGTAACAGCGCTAGAAAGAGGGGGCAGGATTGTTGCCGAAGAAAGAGAGGACGGGGCGAAGACCAGTCGTTGGCAAAGCGCTGCAAGGCTGTGCTCACGCTCTGAATGCAAATTGTGGGCACAGAAGCAGCGCTCAAGCCTCAAGGTGTGAGAAGGGGCAGGAATACCTGATGTGCCTGATTTGCAGGTCCAAGAGCTTCAAACCCCGCTGCAGATGATCCATGTGAATGAGTCTTCAGTTTCCCCACCGGAGAGAGAGGTACTGGTAAGACCAGGGTCAAGTTCAAGGTATTGTGACCTGTGCTGTCACTCAACACTGTGTCAATGGCCCATACTGGCCGGATGCTCTGCTGTCGCCAGCTTGAAATTAATAATTGTTTAACCAGAGACCCCTGTCGAGTCCTGGTTTGCACCTACCTCCTAGGGTTCTTGTAATTGTTAATATTCAAGAACTTTATTATTTGATTTGTCCCTCATCAGACTGTTTGCTTTGATTGCTGCTCCTTTAACAGAGAGGCTAAAACTACTTTTGATTGTTAAATTTCATAGGAAAAAAAGTTAGGGAGAAACTGCTTGGTGGAAAAGACCATTCCTCTTTGTGCCCCCAGAGCAATTTTGCAAGTGATTTTTGTCTCTTTGAAGTGTCTGCTTCCCTCCCCATATTTCATCCTAAGAATTTTCATTGAATTTAGGCATCCGATTATATATTTAGGGAGAAGAAAAGGGGTGTGTGTGTAATCATTGGTTGCAGACACAAAGGTACTTGGAAGAGAGAAAGATGAATATTGAATTTTCTTGCAAGATTCCAAAATTCTTAAAGGTCAGCTTAGGAGTAAACTCAGATTCAACAGCACGTGGTGGAGCGGAGGCTCCTTTCCACCACAACCGGCTACCCCAGGGCCCCTCCCCAGCTTCTTTCCCACTTGGCCACTGCCCCCCTCCTTTCTAGAACTGAAAGCCCCAGTCCAAAGCCCCTCCCCTCCTAACCATCTCCTGTGACCTTGTTAGTGTTTGACTTTTTTCTTAAACAGATTTAATGAGAAATAATTCTCATACAGCACAAAAATTCAATTTTTTGGTATATTATTAGTTTTTTAAGTTGTCATAAAAACATGGAACCATAAACCATGATGGTAGTTGAGGGGTCTTAACAGCAGTCACCAACCATCATCACCACTGTCTACTTCAAGAAATTTTTTACCACCATAAACAGAAATGATCATTAAAAATAAGTATCTTGGGCCCTTCCTGGTGGTGCAACAGGTTAAAGCAGAGCACTAAGAGTCGATTTGCAGCCACAGCAGCATGGGTTTAATCCCCGGTCCTGGAGCTGACCCACATGGCGCGGCAGACGTCTCCTGACCTGCCCACTGCTCCCCTCAGCTGTGTACTTCATCCATCTGCCTGTTCTGCTCCCCATTCTGTCTTTGCTGAATCCTCTCACCTCTCACCTCTGGACTGTACCCCAGTTCTTATATGCATAAATAAATAAATCTTAAAAAAAAGAAGTATCTCTTCGCTCCCCTTTTACCTACTTCTTGGTAAGCTCGGAGTCACCTTCTGTCTCTGCGAATTGGCCCATACTGGATATGTCATGGACTGCAATCACAGACTATCACTTGTGTCTGGACTTTTTTCCCCGAGCATCATGGTTTCAAGTTTCATACACATGGTAGTATGTTATCAGAAGTTCACTCCTTTTAATGGCTGAATTACAGTCCACATTTTGTTCTTTGTTCATCTTGGGCTGCTCCTACTACCTCTCTATTGTCAGGTGCCCATGAACAGTGGTGTGACCTATCTGTTTGAGGTTTTTTCATTTTGGTTGGGCATCTGATCCCTGGGTCCCCTCTTGATGATTCCTGTCCATTTGCTCTTGGCTGCCAGCATCATCTTTTACCCACATACACTTGAGCATGTGGCTGGTCTGCACACAGCCCTTTACTAGCTTAAGATACCACTGGAAAAGCTCATGCCGTCTGAGCAGGAGATGGAAGTAATCCTCACTAAGAAGGCCCATTACTGGGTTCTGGTCACTTGCCTATGTTACTTCACCCTGCACTTGCTCATGGCTCTATCCATTCTCCTATGGAATTCCCCCTTCCCTCTTTTTTTTTTTTTGTGTGCATTTCATGTATGCGGGTCCCTTTTCTAAAATGTTCACGCTTCCCACATTTGCTACCTTCCCCTTGACCAGCTCTCCCCATTTTTCTCAAGCACCTTACCTTCAAAGTGCCCTAACCCCTCTCTCTCTTCCAGTTCAGCTGCCCCTTTGCTGCCCCCATGACCCCTTGAGCTTCACAACTTCAGGTTCACTTGGAATTATCTGTCCAATGTCTGTCTTCCTCTCTGTGATAGTGACTAAAGGTGACTGAGCACTGAGTATGTTCCAGAACCTGTCCAGAACCTGTCCATTCACACGCCAAGTCTCACAAGGAGGAGCTGGGTTTTACAGATAGAGGAGCTGGGTTTTACAGACAGAGGAGCCTGAGGTACTTTCACAGGTGGGCCTTTGCTGGCCCCTGGAAGCCTACAGACAGAGGTGCCAGCCCGCAGCCCCAGAGAGCTGAATGGCTCCCCAGGCCAGCACCCCCAAGTCCCTATCACAGGGAGGGTACCCATAGTTCCTCAACTGGCATTAACGCTGGGTGAATGAAGCAGGGTTTAGAGCAAAGGTTACTTACCAGAGGCGGCTCCCCACCCTCCCAGCCTCAGTTTCTCCAGTGCAGAAAGTGCACATTAATACGATTATCTGGTGGGCCTCCTTGGTGGCACAACGGGTCAGGACGCAGCACTGCAAGCTGGCTGCAGCTGCCTCAGTGCGAGTTGGATCCCCACCAGCCCCAGAGGTGACCCACAAGGTGCATCAGACCTCTCCTGACAGCCTGCTGCTCCCCTCAGCAGTGTACTTCCTCAGTCAGCTGTTATGCTCCCCCCTCAGTCTCTGATGAATCCTCTCGCACGCAGCCCCTGAACCTCTGACTTGCACCCCAGGTCTATATGCACAAATAAATAAATCTTTTAAAAGTACGTATGTCGGAAGGGTTATTTGAGAAGGGTGAGAATTTTGATGTGGATTTTTTTTTTTTTTTTAATGCACGGTGCCTGGCAGCCACAGTCCCGCTGGACAAATACTTAAGTTTAGCTTTTGTCGCCCGGTAGCGCCCCAGACCGGGAAGGAGGAAAGCGCCGGGAACCCCAATTCCGCAGACCGACCCCCGCTGCTGCATCCCGCGGGACCCGAAGCCGCCCAGCCCTCCAGACCTTGGGGTTCCCCTACGGGAGGTCGCACCGGGCCAGCGCGCCGGGGTTTGTTCTCCTTGGGCCTCGGCCACACTCCGCAGCTTTCGAGCCGGCAGGGCAGCGCGCCTGGTCCCGCCCTCGGCCTCATTATCTACGTTTCCGCGTCAGGCGGCCGCGAACTTGGCAGGCCCTCGCAGCGGTGTTCGGGAACACTTTGTGCCGAGCGCCAGCGGCCCGGCCCTCCCGCCTCCGGTCGGCCCCGCCAGGCTGCCCACTGGGTCCGGGTCGCTGGACCCGGTTCTTCGCCCGGGCGCGCGGCTCGGAGCCCCGCGCACTTGTCGCCCAGCCTCGTCGCCCGGCCACGCGGTCCACCCCTCGCCCAGGGCTTGGGCGTGCAACGTGGGTCACAGCGCGCGTCACCCGGAGGTTCGGAAAGACGCGCGGCCCGTTTTCAGCAAAGCCCAGCTATGAGTCCTGGGTTGTTGGCTGTTTATGCCGGGCCAGTGCCGGCTCCTGGAGCGTGGCGGATAACCAGCAAAGGGGTGTCGTCGGGGCGAAAAGAAACTCGTTCTGGGGGAGACCTGAGCAGTGTGAAGCCTCGCCCCCCCGCCCAGCCCCCCGTTTTTCTCGTCCTGGCTACAGGAGCTCAGGCAAGGCGCGGGGCCCCAGTCTCCGCTCCCGCCGAGTGGGCATCCCCGCGAGAGAACCCCGCGTTGCGGTCCACACCTCCAGAACCCCACCTTCCTGTGGTCCCGCCCCGGCCCGGCCCCGCCCCAGGGGTACGGGGGCTGCACACGCGGCGCTGGCTCCAAAGTGCGTCACGGGCACCAGCCGCGCTCCTCGGCGGCCAGGGAGAAGCTGGCCTCGGGCCAGCGCGGCCGGGTCTGGGGTACCGGGCCATCTCTAGGGCGGGGACCGGGCGGGGGGCGCTCCAAGGGCGCGGCCCTCGGCCAGCTTTGGGGGCGCCCTCCTAGGCGGGGAGCGCGCCAGGGATCGGCCTCCACCCCCGCCCGGCGAGCCAAGGCTACACGTTCCCTTCGGGGCCCCTGGACGCGGAGCGGAGATTTCCTCTCGGGGAAACTACGCGGATCCTTCCCGGGGCTCCTCGCCCCGCCCCAGTTCTCCGCCCCCTCCCCTTAGCCTGGGGGCCGCGGCTGACCCGCAGCGGGGAAGAGGTGCTGGCAGTCCCGGCCGGGAGGCGGCGGGGACCGCGGAGCCGCGGGCCACCGACTC